TTTTTGAGATGGAGTCTCACTCTGTTGCCCAGGCTGGAGTGCAGTGGTGCAGTCTCGGCTCACTGCAATCTCCACCTCCCAGGTTCAAGTGGTTCTTCTGCCTTAGCCTTTCAAGTAGCTGGGACTACAGGCATGTAGCACCACACCCAGCTAATTTTTGTATTTTTAGTAGAGATGGGATTTCACCATTTTGGCTAGCCTGGTCTCAAATTCCTGACCTCAGGATCCACCCACCTCAGCCTCCCAATGTGCTGTGATTACAGGTGTGAGCCACCAGACCCAGCCAAACAAGTGTATTTTACACACAAGTTTTCTTCCCTTCCCCGGCCCCCACCCCATTCAGTAGTGGGAGGAGCAGACCTGTAACATGAGTCTTTGCTATGGCTCTGCCACATGGACAGGTTTTCAGAGCAAGTGAAAGTCTTACGAAATAGTATAGTAAAGCCCCTGTCCCATTACCTCTTCCTAGCTCAGAAATGAATGCTGTACTCCCCAAGCTTGCCAAGCCTTAGAGTGCCCTTGGAGAGTTTAAGACATCTTCCTCATGATCTAGAAGAGGCAGGAGGCTCAGAAGGAAATCTAATGCATCAGGATGTTGGGGGAACATCCTGAAGTCTCCCTGGAGAGTGTGAATTGACTTCTTACATTAATATTGTGATATACACCTGTCCTACAGCTTTCTGAAGCCATTTCCTTTCTTTGGCCTACATTTTCAACTTTTACTATTACAGTACAGTTCTTAAGAGGAAAAAGGGCAAACCTATAAGGCATTGCATTGTTTCCCAATTCAGCTGGAGTATAGCCTCCTAGACTCCAGGGAGCTCTGCTCCAAGTAGGTTGTATGTGGGCAATGCCTGTTATCTAAAACCCAAAGACTCTGAGCATGCTGAAGGTGCAAAGAAGCAGTAGAGATGGACTCTGTCCTCTAGAAGCTCGAAGTCTAGTTGAATAGATGACATAATCCACTCAGCAAACACTTATTAAGCATGTGTGTGTTTGAGGCGCTGTGGCAGCACAGCAATGATTAAGCTGCAATCCTAATTTTCTAAGGAGACTGCAGTGAACGGTTAAGTAACAGATACGAAACAATTCAGGCAGTACAGTGAACTTCCCAGTGAATCGTATAAACAATTAAGTGGTGCTCAGCAAATAGAGAAACCACTGTGGGCTAGGATGGCTTCGAAAGGCTTTAAGGAGGTAGTAAGCTTAAGCAAAACCCCCAAATCTCGACTGTTTCTTATATTCATGGAATCTTCCAGGTTCTAGAATAAAGCACAGACCAAGTTGCAAGGAAATATAAATTTCTACATTGTAGCGACTCTGGTGCTCTCCCTCTCTTCAGTTGATTGCTGTGGCTGCTTCCTCATCCAGGCCTTCTCCCTCTCCCACTCTGTATCATGGCACCGGTCTAACATACTCCAAGAACAAAAAGTATAAAAGATGACTCAGTAAAAATCCCCCTCGCTTCCTTCCTTATCTGTGTCTGACTGCTCCTTGCCTTCTCCCTGCCCAGCCAGTTTCTTATGTGTCCTTCCAGAGTTTGTCTACATACAAGAAAACATGAATTTAGATTCTTGTTTTCCTTTGTTTTTAAGATAGCATGGTATACTCACAGTTTGGGATCTTGCTTTCCTTCACTTAATAGTATATCTGGGAGGTCTTTCCTAATAGGACATAAAGCACATTCTCATTCTTTTTGATAGCTACATAGTACTCCACTGTGTAGAGGTAGCATAATTTATTTAACCAGTTCCCTCCTGGTTGGTCATTTGGGTTGTTTCAATCTTTGCTATTACAAATGAAGCTTCAACAAATAACTCCACAGAGACATACGCTCCTTGACTTACAATGGGGTTCTGTCTCAATAAGCCCATCATAAATCAAAAATATCCCAAGTCTAATATGCATTTAATACTTAACTATATTCATTGTAAATTTAAAAAATTGTAAGTTGAACCATCGCAAGTCAGGGACCATGGCTGTATATAGTATATACACACATGAAGGACCATATAATAGCAGATATTATTCCCTACCCCATCACTTATATTATCAATAGACTTAGCTTAGAAAACCTTGGATTTTGCTTTTCATCGTTTTTACCAGCATTGTCTGGTTCAAAATACGTTTATTCAGCAAGAGGTCATTGGTAGCATTTGCCATTGCAAGGCCTGGGCAACTTCACACTCTTGTAGAATTCATTCTTCCTGGGGTGCCTTCTGGCCCACTATGAAACTCTTAAATGCTACTGTGATCTTGTTTTCATAGACGGGCTCATCTTCGCTTGTGCCTGGAGAAGTTGAAGGGGCTGGTGCCACTTGGACCCGAATCGAGTCGACACACTACATTGAGTTTATTAACAAAAGCCAAATTGCACATAAAGGTAAGTGTATCATTGGGATGCTGCTTTATCTTTACTTGTTTAGTAAGGGTTTGTCTGTTGATACATCTCCAGGGCAGTCCTCTCCCCTGAACTCCTCCAGTCTGGCTATTGGATGAATCACAGGTACCTCAAATGCAACATGTTCAAACACCAACTGAGTATTTCTCACTCCCATGTACCAGAGGTTTAATGGTCCATCCAGCTCTCCATCCAGTTGTACAAGCGAGAAACTCAGGAGTCCTTGATAGCTCCTGCTCCTTAACCATATATCTAGGCCATCTCCAAGGACTAAGTATTTTAGAACCTGGTCTGCTTCCATCTTTACCCCCGCTGTCTACTGCAGTAAAATCTTCAGAGGTCTCCCTATATCCCTCTGGGTTCCTCCCATCTGCTTTCCATGCTTCCTGAGAACAGTCCTTCCAAGGCACAAATCAACATGTGACTTTGTTTAAAATTCTTCTGTGACTCAGGACAAACTCTGTCACCAGGCCAGCCCCAGGCTCTGCCTTGCCTGGTCCTCACCTGCCTCTGCAGCACCATCTTGTTCTCCATGTCCCCTTTCTCCAGCCCTTCTTCCAGTCCCTGGCACTTGTCATGTTGTCTTACTCAGGACCTTTGTCCATGCTGTTCCCTCTGCTTGGTACACTTTCCCCTGTCTTCTTCACCTACGGGACTTCTTCAGATCACAGTGCAAGTCTCTCTAGCTCAGAGAATCCTTTGCTGACTTTCCCGACTCACTGACCTCCTTCCTGTGACAGGTGGCTCCGTCACTGGATATCTCTCTTAGCACTGTTATAGCTGACATTTGACAGTGGTTTGTGCGACCATCGGGTTGTCTCAATCATTAGACTGTAGACTCCATGAGGGTGGGAACTGGGTCTTTGTGCTCACTTTGCAGTCCCAGCACCTTTCAGGGTGTTGGGCACAGAGCTGACACTCTCTGTGCTACCTGAATAGCAAAGGATAAGGGGAGTTGGATTCAAAGTCTTGAGAGCCACAGCCAAAATCCTTGTTTAGCATGTTTGGATAGTCATATCATAGTTGAACAGATGTTACTTTAATTATGGTTAGTAGCCTGCATGCATGACAATTCTGGGAGAAAACCTCTATTTAAAGCAAAACAGCTACAATTAAACAATCGTCTTAATTATCTGAAGAATATGAGAAGCTAGGGGGCAGATTTGTAAAAACAAGTATTCTATGGAAATGTGTTTTCTAAACTCTTCTGTTGGACAAAGTAGAATCAGGACATCAAAAGGGACTATTATTTCCTGTTAACAAACAAGTTAATTGGGTTTGGCATGACACAAAAAAGTGCTTATGTAATTGGGACATGTACTTGAATGAACATAGTTTTAAATGGAAGCATGTTTCTTAAGCTCCCATCACATGCAGTTTTCTAGTTCAGAGATCAGGTGTTCAGGGGATCACTGCAAACAAGGGAGACCAAGTTGGGGGCTGCTGCCTGCAGTCTTTTCAATACTAAAATTGAGGGCTCCCGGGGTGCCAGCATGTGAGAGCTCACCACCAGAATCCCTGTGACAGGACAAGTACCCACAGCACTGGCGATGCTGAAGAGTCACTGGCCAGTCGACTTCCTGTCCCAGAGAGAAGCTTGATGAGTGGCACCAAAAGGCTTCTGAGGAAGCATGGCGCATTTCACTGCTAGAAGGGAAGACGTGGGGCATTGCCCATTTAGAAGTCCCCCTGTGGGGCCCAACAACTACCCCTTTGACTTGCAGAAACTTGAAGATTGTGACAGAAAAGCTGTTCACCAAATAGACCAGCTTCAGCGAGAGCAGCGACACCTGAAGAGGCAGCTGGAGAAACTGGGCATTGAGAGGATCCGGATGGACAGCATCGGCTCCACTGTCTCCTCTGAGCGCTCTGACTCCGACAGGGGTGAGCCCCTCTCGCCGCGCCCTCTGCCATGCTCCTTCCCTCCTCCCTGTCTCCCTTGTCCTCTTCTACCTCCAGAGCCAGGCAGAGTGGGGGGTTCAGTGCCGCTGGCAGGAGGCAGAGAATAAGAAGAACTAAGACATTGGGTTTGTTGTAGAGAAGTTAAACAGTGTGACCCCCAGTGACAGATTCCTCCCCCCTGCTAGCAGTTAGGTGACAACGTCTATAGAAGGGTTTGACTGAGGTCGGTTTTCAGCCTGAATTTTCTGTTTTTGTTCTTTGTTTTTTTGGGACAGTCTCACACTGTCACCCAGGCTGGAGTGCAGTGGTATGATCTTGGCTTACTGCAACCTCCACCTCCTGGGTTCAAGCGATTCTCCTGCCTCAGCCTCCCAGGCAGCTGGGATTACAGGCATGTACCACAACACCCGGCTAATTTTTGTATTTTTGTAAAGATGAGGGTTCACCATGTTGGCCAGCCTGGTCTTGAACTCCTGACCTCAAGTAATCTGCCCGCCTTGGCCTCCCAAAGTGCTGGGATTGCAGGCATGAGCCACCCACAACTGGCCAAAATTTTGTACTTTTTAATAGAGATGGGGTTTCACCATGTTGGCCCAGCTAGTCTCAAACTCCTACCTCAAGTGATCCACCTGCCTCAGCCTCCCAAAATGCTGGGATTACAGGCATGAGCCACAGCGCCTGAGTTTTCTGCAGAGCACTTTCATCAATGTCCTTCTCTCTTGTCCTCCCTGCAGAAGAAATCGACGTTGACGTGGAGAGCACGGACTATCTCACGGGTGATCTGGACTGGAGCAGCAGCAGCGTGAGCGACTCTGACGAGCGGGGCAGCATGCAGAGCCTCGGCAGTGATGAGGGCTATTCCAGCGCCAGCATCAAAAGGATAAAGCTGCAGGACAGTCACAAGGCATGTCTTGGTCTCTAAGAGAGGGGGCGCTGCGGCTGCCTCCTTGAAGGTTTTCCCTGTCAGATCTGATTAGGTAACGTATTGGACCTGCCCACAACTCCCTTGCACGTAAACTTCAGTGTCCCACCTTGACCAAAATCAGCTTTGTAACTGTTTTCAAGGAAGTGCTTAGGATTGTGGGTTTCTGATTGCATCCACTAGCTTCTCTTTTTCTCGCCATAAAAATTTGTCTCTGAGAGACTGTACATTCCAATGAATTTGAAGCATCCAAGAATTCTTACACCGAATAAGCAATGTCCACATCTCAGCAATCCCCCTCTTCACTCTCTTCATGTCCTCTCCCAGACCTTTCTTCCAGTTTTCTGGCTTACTACGTTTCTTGCCTAGGAGGAATGTCCAAGTGTGTCTTGTGCTTAGGAAACTGAAGGAAACAAACTTTTGAAATTGAGATCCTGATCTCAGAACTCCAAAGTAAGCTTTGAAAGCGGCATTTAAGAGCACTTAACCATGGTCCTCACCGCCAGTGAGGAAGTCAGAAATACCTCTAGAAAACACGCCCTTCACACACAGCGCGTGCTCATTCCCCCGACGTGCTGCATGTGGATGGGAGCAGTATTTCTCACTTTAAAATGGACACCTTGATAGTGTGTCTTTGGGGTTGCACAGCTCATAAAAGTTCCAAATTGTTTGTTTTCACAAACAAAACGGTACAATCTATTTTTGTGCGACGTTCTTGGGACCTCGCTGTGTTCTGCTATCTCGAGGCACATTCTCCCCTCCAAGTTTGTTAATGCTACTTGTCTCTGGAACATTTTTTTTTTCCTACCTCAGAGATAAATGAGATCTCCATTTCCCACTTAACACAAAGTGATTATCCTCTTTCTTTTTTTTTCCCCACAGAATAAGTGACATTTGGTCCAATTCTAATGTATTTTCCTATTGAACTTTCAGCAATAACTGAGCTGTGGCACTAGCAGAGCTAGTGGCCATTATCAGTGAAAGAAAAAGTCCACATTTCTACCCTCTGTTGCAGGTGAACAGGAGAGGATGGTACACTGTTACTAGAACTCCTCTCTTTAGTGATTATTTTTGGACACACCCAGAAACTTCTTTATGGAGGCTTTTGGGTTGATAGTTTAAAAGGCTGATTTTTCTTTTTGGTTATGATTTCTCCCTTAAGTGGTCTCCAACTTTGTAGCATTTTTATTTAAGCTAAAACAGAGCACATGTATATGTACATAAGACACATTAAATCTATAAATACTATTTATTCATTTTATATAAACTAATGTAATGGAAAATAAATTCTTATGACTTTGTGCTTTTATAGATGTTCTAGAAACTTTGTATGTAGGTATATACAAAATTAGTTCATTCCCCTGAATATTTTTGCATTCATATTTTTGAGGTCTTGATGTTTTCAGCCTCTGACGAATCTTTTTCATTGAATTTGAACCATTTGTAAAATCTGTGATGCTGAAGCAGAGTGTGTCACAAAGTGATGAGAACATTCCTAAAATCCATGGACTCACCGCGACCTAAGGGCTCAACGGCTGACTCGGCAGTGGGCAGCCACCCCACGCTCCCCTGCTGGTCTGCGGTCACTCGCACACCATAGCCTGAAGCTCACCTAGCGCCTGCACCTCGCACACAGCTAAGGTCAAAGTTCAAATGCACTCCGCAGGGAAGCTCATTCTGTACCGGAAGAGCAATCTCACAAAGCAAGATTACTTTTGTGTGATTCTTTAATGTATTTGTTTAAATGTTCTGATTGGAAGTAGTGGATTCCTAAATGATTCCAAAGTCATCTGTAATTCTTCTGGTTTTGTTTTGTTCTGTTTTTTCTTCATTTCAGCTTTGGGTGGGGGGGAGGGACAGGTGACACAAAGGATTTTTTTTTTTTTTTTTGGAATCTTTTCCAATAACCAGCTAAAGATTTGCACTGAAATACAACTTGTATGCCTTTTGCATTCTTAAAGCCTGCTTCCTGGATTTAAGCAGAGTGATAGTGTTCAAAGAGCCAGCTCAGCTGTAACATGTTTGAAAAAGGTATGTCTGCACTTTGAGGTCCCTTTTGAACGCCATTCACCAGACCTCTCAAGCATTTTGTTTCACTGCTACATCCAAGCGCCTCACAAGTCCACGATGCCGGACAGCATCGAAAACTCAAGACTTTGGAAAAAGCTTGTGGGCTTGCATTGGGGAAGGGAAGGGAACAAAATTTGTGTACTTCTTTGTTTAATTTAGAAAGAAGGCATCCAAGAGATGCCGTTATTTCTGTGTTTCAATTGTTGTGCCTTTGAGTTAAACTGCATTTTTGTCTTTTGGTTGAAATCTGAAATGTACTGTCCCAATATAAAACAGTAACTATTTGACCTTTGCACTGTTTGTCTGGTCCTTTTCAATTTGATTGCGTATAAATGTGGAACTTGGTAGCTCTCTATATTTTTAATGCACTTGTGATAAACTGATACCAGGGTTAGACATTACTTTCAAAGCTCGATGTAGACCGAGTCAGCATGCTAGACAGGCTTCTCTCTAACCAAAACTGTAATCTTCAGGACCAGCAAACTCAGCCCAAGGCAGCTAATCCTCCCTACCCGATCCTCCACCCGCCCTCCGCGGCTGATCGGCAGCCCTGATTTGCCAATCTGTCCTTTCTCATTCACTGATCCACCAGCCTGACTGCTAAGAGCTGTAGTCTTTTCAGTTGTTTTGTCTTTTTAAGCCAGATGAAAACCTTTCTATTAGGGATGTGGGGTCAGGGAGGGGATGGGCAAAGATATAAACCCCAGCCTTTAAGACTTTGACAATTGTACGTAAATACAGATGTGTATAAATATAGGCACATGCATATTTTTATGTGAAAGTTGATTTTAAAAAAAGTAAAAAAATCTAAACTGCACTCTTATTGATACCATCATAATGCAAATGGGAAAAATAAGAGTACGTAGTCTAATTTAATTTCATGCAGTGAGAAAATATATATGTGTGCTTCTGTAACATCCTGAAAACAAAGCTTTCCATCCCCTGTTTGCTTTGAATGGTGGGCCAAGCACCCAGGGTATCTTTATTTATTTATTTTTTCCTTTTCTTTTTTTTTTTTTTTTTTTNTTTTTTTTTTTTTTTTTTTTTTTTGTTAAGCAGAGATTTCGAATGGTTCAAGGTGCTGATAGTAACTGCTGGCTCCTTTCTCTAGTCTCACACCTAATACCAGTTTAGTAATTCAAAGTGCATCACATTTTTCAGCAGGACGTAGCTTCTCCTTGTCAACCCAAGATTAAAATCATTTCAGTGTTGATTCAGAACTGGGCATTAAGTAGACCCTCAACCTGCAGTTGGCCACTTGAGTGTCTCTGGTTTTGTTTTTATTTTTCAAGGTGGGCATTTTCCTTTAATCTCTACTTTTTCAAAATAAACAAAGGGGCCTCACCTGGGTTTCCTATGGGCCTCTCTTCCACATCCCTAAAGTGGCCAAGAGCAAATCTTGGGGGGTAAGAAAAAAGTATAAACTAGGTAGGATTGTGATGCTCAAAATAACCGTCTAGCAATATCCTGGAGCTTGAGAATGGATTTTGTGGGCTTATTTCTTCTTGCCTCTTCCCCATCCTTTCAAGAGAGAGCTTATTTTTGAAAAGTATATGTGTGTATATATATATACATACATATGCATACATATACACACACATTATTGTTTAGGTTTTTATACCATACTGTATTGGCAAGAGTACCACTATCATTGTCCTTTACAATCTATTTCTTCCCCCAAATCTTGGTCTTTTTTTATTTTTTATTTTTTCATGAACCACACAGGAGACTAAAATCCTGGTCTTTTCTGTTTCTTCTTTACTTTTTTCCCTGAGTTTCTTTGTCTGCCCCCCTTTGTCTTTCCTGTGTGTTGAACACCAGGTAGTAAAAGGCTAAACGCAATTTCCTGCATGTCAGTCTATTCTTTTTCTACGTTTGACTCCAATGCAGTGTGTTTAGTAGCTGGCTACTACTATTTAAAAACTCTTCCTGGTAGAAGACAACCCAAAGACCCTTTTCAATGAGGTGGTTTTCTCATTCTACATCATCTGGTCTCTATAGACTGTAGGATACTTTGCTTTCAAAGATACTGGGTCAGAGGGTGGGATGTGCAATAGGTGATTTATCATGATGTTTTTCATTATCAATATTATATGGATGATTTTCTCCAATTCTTCTGAAAGAAGAAATAAGTGACGGGCACTGCTAGATTCAGCTGTTGAATGGCTGAAGAGATGGAGTGTCTGATCTCCTCTCAAATTCATAAAGTGAGAATTCATAAACACCCAATATTAAGATTTATCCAGATTTTTACATTTTGATTTCTTCTCTCTGGGGGGGTGGCAAGTTGAGGGAGCATTCTTCATTTTAGCTTTTACGTGACAACCAAACTTGCCTTGACCCCCATCCCTAGAATTGGTGCTCTTGGACTATTGCTGTTACCATCATTTTTGGGGGGCCATCTTCCTAATGCTACACATAGCCTGGCAGGGGGGCAGCAGATGAAAGGGTATGCTATTCTGTTTCCAGATGTTTCTTTATGTAAATATGACGCCAATGTGAATCCTGTGTCAAGACCATAGAGAATGGTGCTTTTTATGACAGTTAGCACATGCATTTTTAGAAACTACTACATGTTTTAGAGACTCTTTGCTGTGTATATGTAAACTGTATTGTTCAACTGTTAACAAATAATAAATTATTTCATTATTAAAGAAAAGTTGGTCTCCTGATGTTTTGTATCCCAGTTTACCCTTTCATGGTTGTCCTTGCAGAACTGCGTTAATCAGATTTCTTTTTTCTTTTAATTTAAGGGAAGCTTCACTAGCAAAAAATTTTCAGCCCTTGGAGCCTGTGATGAGGATTGAGATTGTGTGGCTCCAGTTGAGCCCATTTGTTAATCAGAATTAGCCACAGTCCCACCCTCTCCACTGCCCCCTCATCCCACCTACCGGTTTCACCTGCTCATTCACTCACTCTTGGCTGACCTGCCCCTTGTTTTGGGTGCCTCTGATGATGCAGGCAGTGCGCTGGGGCTGCAGGCACTGCCAAGACTTCCACGTCTTTCAAGCAGCCTTTCTTTTTGTAGCCTGGTGGGAAAGATATGCACACAATTTAATGCAGTGTAATTAGTTGTAGAATAAAGTTGTATGGGAAAGTGCCATGAGCAGTCAGAGCTGTGGTGCATTCGAGCTGGGCCCTGGAGGAAGAGTGAGTGTTTGCTGGGGAAGGAGCATTACTGGGAAGGGGAACATCCAGGGCAGTGAGGCAGGTGCTCAGACGGGGCCCAGCTTCGTGGGGCTGCGGTGTGGCCTGGAGGCTGGAGCACATGGAAGGAAAGACCCCATGGATCGCACAACTCACTGAAAGGAGAGAAGCATTGGCTGAAGATGTCCATACTTTTACACACTAACTCATTTGGTTAGTATACATTTATTCTTTCCCTGAACAAATACGGCTTGAGCACCTGTCAGGCTCCCCTGCCTCATGCTGTTGCCTTTCCAGTGTGAGTCTGACTGCAGCTCAAGTCCTTATCTTGGGAAGTTCGCCAAGTGCACAATGTCTTCCTGTTTTTGTTACACCAGGAGAGCACTTTTTCGGAGTAAAGAGGAAGGAAAAAGGTGTCTTTCTCTTTGTTGACCAATGACTTCTTATTCTAAAAAACCACCTAAAATTTTTGAAAGGTTTTTATGGTGCCCTATAAATTAACTGCCATTGGCATTCCGCCTGCAAGTCTGATGAAAAAGGAACTTTCTGGTACTTCCATTTTGGAAAGTGGCCTGCCTTGTCTGCTTTCTCCAAAGAGTACGGGCAGCGGCTGGGCCTGTTTAGGATGTGTGGCTCCATCACTGTGGGCAAGCTCCAGATGGAGCCCACCTAATAGTGCGCAACAAAAGCTACGTTCTCTGAAGCATCAGGATCCCTTGTTTACTGTGGCTGCAGAGAGGAAGCTTTGAACTGTAGATAATTAGAAAAACAGCTTTCACATAAAATAGCCTCCCCCACAAGATGACAAATCTTATTTCCGAAGTTTCCTGACTTTGTTTGTTCACTGTAGCCGGATGAAAAAGTATCACTTGTTATGCTGTGTGGGACCATGTCATAGCGATGGTCAGCCACATTTACTGAGTGCTAAGTGCTGGGGTGCCACTGCAGGGCCTCGGTGAACCTTCACATCGGCCTGGGAGGGGAGTACCAGCATTATCCCCACATTGCAGGCGAGGAAGCCGAGGGAGAGAGAAGTCAGGCATTTTGCCCCAAGCCCACAGAGCTAGTGACGGGTGGAACTAGAAGCATCAGTGCCTGGCTGCTGAGCTCCACACTCCCTTGCCCCAATTTTTGCAAGAGCTGTGCGAAATTGTCATTAGTCTTCCACATACAGCATCTTTTCCTTTTTAAGCCTTTGAACGAGGCTACCTATTTTCTTTGGAGGGGGCCTTAGATTCCAGACAGTGGAGCAGAAAGCTGGGAATTCACAATACAATTACTAGCCGGGCACGGTGGCTCAAGCCTGTAATCTCAGCACTTTGGGAGGCCGAGGCGGGTGGATCACGAGGTCAACAGATCAAGACCATCCTGGTCAACGTGGTGAAACCCCATCTCTACTAAAACTACAAATAATTAGCTGGGCATGGTGGCGCGTGCCTGTAGTCCCAGATACTCAGGAGGCTGAGGCAGGAGAATTGCTTGAACCCAGGAGGCGGAGGTTGCGGTGAGCCAAGATCGCGCCATTGTACTCCAGCCTGGGTAACAAGAGCGAAACTCCGTCTCCAAAAA